AAGATTCCCCGCGGTGGGGGGGGGAATCGGGGGAATCCCCGCCCTCGGCCCCCGCCGCGGAGGGCAGCGGAAGGGGGGAAGGTCGGAGTCGGAAGTGGGGGCTGCCAAAGCAGGGATCCCCATCCCACGGGCGGTCGTAGGCCGTCAACCACAGCGTCGGGCGGCGATGTGCAAACGGGCTCACCGCCACCGACACCTCCTCCTCGACCACCGCCGAATAGTTCCCCGCGAGATCGCCATCCCCGCCTTGGGAGGCTGCCCCTAGGCTCAGACTATTCGAGATTTCCGTCGAATCATCCCCGGCCCCACCGGGAGTTGACAGGTCGTGGGACTTCGAAAGTTCCTCGGCGGAGGTGGGGGCGAGCAGGCTAAACGGGCGGGGCGTCGCCATGAACTTCGCCAATACCGCGTTGACGTTTTTGGAGGCGGAAAGGGCCTGATGCCGCCGCCACTGCCCTTTCATGAGGCGCCGGTTCGCGTCGGGTTCGACATTGGCGTTGAGGAGATCGTGGGTGTCTTGAAGGGTCATCCAAATGCGCGCACTGGTACCATCAACAATTATAAGAATAGAAAGAAAACTCATAAGAGGTAATGTCATAATATGAAGCACATTGCAATTTACAAGAAGAAATGGTAAATTACGAGATCAAAGCAACCTAATAAGAACATTATAGTGGATTTATCTAACTAAATGTATATATATATATTTATATTATCGCAGTTTAACCTGATGAATTGTTACGATTACAAGTACTTAAAACCAACGAATTAGTCCTCAAAGTCCAAATCATCCCCGTCGTCATTTCCGTGGTGGTAATCATCGCGTATCTCGAGCACGTCCTCTATACGCTCCTTCCAATCCCCCTCTTCCATCCAATACGAGGTGCAATACGTCTGCGATTTATAGCGAAGCGCTTTCTGGGCCTCCCTCACAATACGATCCAACATCGGGGAAGAATTAAAGGTGGTCACGACGTGAGAACCAACATCCGTACTATCCAAACTTCTAGAAAAAGAATTGGATGCTTTACTTGCCTTGGCAGACGCCGTGGGATTCGATTTCAACCCCGACAAAAGCTCCAGGGGAAAGGTGCTGGATATGGGATAATTCTGCCGCGTTAGCAAAGGTAAGTAGGCCGAAGTGCGCAAAGGCATCGCATACCGCAGCATCGCCTCCGCAGGGGGATAAACCCGAGAAGGAAGAACCCCGGCGCCGCGTAAAGTTAAGGCATGTCCAACAACCTTCCCCGCGCTTGAAAGCGGGGCATAGGGCATCGTATGCGAAAGAGGGATAAACCCTCGCGGGTTGGGAACTTGGGCGCCCTCGGAGAACCCCAGAAGGGGCGTTGCCTGGAGAAAACTCCACAGCTCGCCGCTATGCTGCGGATGAAATCGGGGGTCGACGGGTAAAGGAAGGGAGCCCAAAAGCGCGGAAACTCGCCACGATGGACTCGGGCGGAGGGTTTGGCACCAGTCGCCAAGATAATACGCGGGCCCAGTGCCGGTTTCGTCATGTATCGCGCTATTTTGCGCATCCGCCGCCGCTAGCGAGCCGCCATCTCGCGTGCCGTACAAGGCGGTATCGATAATCGCCGCCAAATACTGCGCAGTGGCCGCATCCGTCGTCAGCCACGAACACGACGGATTTAAAGAATCGCCCTCAGGGGCCATTTTGTCAATATTTGAGAAGAAAGAGGGCCAATCCCCCATCTCGATTGGGACGTACAACGCCGAGCCGGGCTCGGAAAGAAGCGAAGTTGACAATAAGCGATTCAGACAAACCTCCTCGCAGCGCTGATTGGCGAAGGGAACGGAGGATGGTTGGGAAGGATAGCTCCCTCGACACGACTGAAGCTCCGCGGGGAGGGGACTAAAAATGGAAAAAAGCGCCACCGGCACCTTCGATCCCGCGTCCTCCCAGAATTCCTGCAGAATGTTGTGCGCGGCGCCGCCAAAAAGGGAATCCCCGTCCACAAAACACTGCAATCCTTGCACGTAATCGCTATCCTCGAGCTGGCGCCGGAGGTTCTCCGCGAGCGCCTGGGCCTCCGGCGCGGCCTCGCTTCGGACGTGCGCGAGGCCGTAGCCAAAACTATGCATCGCCGGGATCTCCCCGATGGTCGCCGAGGAGTGCAAAGGGCGCAAAGACGTGAAATTCCCCGGATCCACCTCCACGGTGATGTACTTCCACCACGCGATTAAAGGATCCTTCTCGCGAAATAACTTCACCCGCTGCGGTTGAGGAGCGTTCGCCCTGTCAGACCGACCCTCCGAATCGTACTTCTTACAAGGCGGCTCGCTCGGCGAGTCTAAAGGCGGAGTGACGGGGTCGTGATGGCAGGGCAGGTCGAAATTCACCCTTTTCATCGAGCAGAAGCCGTCGTCGAGAGAAGTCTCGTCCTCGGCGTCTCCGCGCGAGCGATCTGCCTCAGGTTCGTCGTCGCTCGCATCGTCCGCGAAGGGATCGGTGCGCCCGCATCGCGCCTGCACAAAACGCGCCGCCCTTTCAACGCGGCGCTCCTCCGCCGTC